AAGAAAAAAAATGAGTTTTAACATGTAGAATTCAAGACATGATCACTTTCAAATATACTGTCCGAGAACATTCTGGGTAAATTTCACTATTTTGGAATTGCCTTTTGAACAGAAGAAATCAGAAATTAAGCTCAGCAAAAGTTGCAGGAAGCCAAACTGAAATGGTCTTTGGGTGAGGACGTTTTCTTTTCAAAAGAATAGTTTGCTTTTTGGATTGTCATCAGCTTCCTCATTGCATTCTCTTTAATCTTATCTCTTTCAATAGTGACTTTTAAGCTTGATAAAAATCCCATGGTTCCAAGAAGCCAAAATGGAATGGTCATGTGGGTTAGAGAAGTCTTCTTTGCAAAATAAGTCTGCAAAGTCTTCTTTTGGGATAGCCAGCAGCTGCTTTATTGTATTCTCCTTAATCTCAGTCACAGTCTGAAATATCATCCTTTTTAATAGTGATTTTATAATTTTTAACAGAAGTATCAGGAAGCCAACTCTAGACTGACAGACCTGTTTTTTCAAAAATACTAGCATTGGGATAATTAAAAATAGGCAATTGAGATCTTCAGAATTGTTGGATACATTCTGGGTTGTTTGTATAAGTTCTAAATTTTGCAGTTGTTGATCTTTGATTGCAGCTGGCACCAATATGTTCTGCTTTTGAATGTCTTCTGGAGTGTGGACTGCTTTCAAAGGATTCCTAGCTAAATTCGTGACAGGTACCAAAGTATCAGGGTTTCACTCAAGGAATCATTGCCAGAAGCTTTTTTTAGTCATTTGTATAGTTTCTGCAGATGAATGTCCAAATTTCAAGAAAAATGTTATGCTTATTTGTTGAGGATACAAACAATAGGTAAGCTGGGTGATTACTGAGCAACCTAGCTTGAAGAGGGTTTGTTTATGCAGTAAAGTCCCCTTTGCTTAGTGGCTAAGTTACATCAATGCTTAAGAAACAATTCTTAAAATATTCAAATGGATAGACACATTCCAAGTGGACCTAATATTTATTTACACTCACATACATCTTTCTATCTTTTTAAATCAACCTAGCAAATTTTATGTTGTTACTGTTTGATCAGTTCTCATTCTTGCAAAGTTAATTTGACTGCTGTTTTCTTGGTGGGTAACAATTTTTGTCTTTTTTATTTTTTAAACTATTATTTACCCAATACAAGACCCAAGAGCCACTCAAGGTAGAGCGTTACTGAATTTTTTTTTTATGGATGTAAGAATTGCAGATTGTGAGAATATGTGGGACAGACAATTGTTGTGGCTGAGAAAGCATCCTCTTGGGAGTCTGTTCCACAAAGCAGTAGTTCTTTGAAAGCTCTTTGAATTAGGAAGGTTTGCCCCTGCATATGTGGCATGACAGTTCTTACCTGTAAAAATCTGAACTGGTGGGATGTAGCTTGTCAGAACATTTTCCAGTGATGTAGCAATAGAGTAGGGAGATGTTTACATGGCATCTGTGGGGAAGGGGTTGTAGGGTTGAAAATAATTCTTCACCTACAAGACCACTGCTTTTGAACTGTGTTGGGGCTGGGAAGAGAGGATTGATCAGCTCTTCATTTTTGGCCTCATTTGGCTCTTGTAAAGACAGATATCTGATGGAGTCAGCTAATTTTTAAGAGTGGTATAAGGAGTTATCAAGTAGTAAACAGTATCTAATGTGCTTTTAATATTCATGATTATCAGCAAAATAAATGATAGTTATTATCACTTTTCCATGAGCGATTCTTAAACAGTTTGCATGTGTGGTATTATGCCAGAACAGACACTGAACACAAATTTTATACCAGATCATCAAATAATTCCAGATACAGAGTTAACTTTGTGTTATGGTGGAACACACCTGTTCTATAGTTAATAGACTCTCCCACCTATAATAAGTAGGAGTAGTAAGAGTAACGGGTCAGTCAGTCGATGTCGGATGACAGTCGAATATGAAAGTATCAGCAACCACCACAAGATTACTCTGCATAATGCCTATTATATCAAGTTCTTAACGTTTTGTACGTCGAACCTATTTTAGGACTGATTTAGTACAAATACAAGCCTCCACTCTGAAATCACTCCACAACACTTTGTATTACTCTTGGCCACTGAATGCAGAAGTATGTGACCTTACACCTGTAACTAGTATTGTAAGTGTAGGAATGAGAATGTTTGATAAAGACAATTAAGGGAAGTCTCTCACATATCACAGGAGAATGTAGGGTCCAAGTATGAGATGAGAACATCAGGCAACATGCCACAGACAGGCCAAGAATAATTAACCGAATGTTGGAGTGAAAAAAAATGTTAAGTAGTGAAAATTCAAAGCTTGTGTTATCATTTGATCAGCACGACTGCACTTCATTACACATGTACAAACAATAAAGAAGCTAGGTGAACTTTGAAAATATTATAATCACTTTGAGATGAAATTTGTTAGAAAGCAATAATCAACTGATAATAAGCAAAAAAAAAAAAATTGAGAAATATGTGTTTGGTGTTATTAAACTCATTGCTATAATATCAAACAGGGTGTGTGGCAAGCATAACAGACATTGAGCCAAGTTCAAATTCCTGTCTCATCTGCTGTGTTCACTGTCACATAAAAGCCCTAGGAAAGACATGAATTCATCTTTTCTCTCACCAGTTATGAGTTAAATAGCAGGATATACATGGCTTTCCAGCCTTGACTGGCAACTCAATCTAAGAGAAGGCAATGAGAAACCATTATCTTTCCCAAGAATTCATGGTAATTTACAAATAATAAAACAAACAAAAAAAAACATGGAGAGCCATATTCCCCTGCATCACAAAGGAAAATGAAATTTTGAAAATAAAAATATGCTTATTTAATGTTTAAAAAATATATTATTTTTATTTACAATATTTACATTGTTCAGACTATTGTCCTCATCTTTATTGCCATATTCATGATGTTTTGGCCATTATACTCTCCGGCCTTTTTAAGGTGATTGGAATTTTGAACTGAACCCTTTATTTCATCCCTCTTCTGCAGTGGTGCACAAAAACTGAGACATCCGGAAGATGCATGGCATGTGGAACTAGAACACTATACCTGTGTGGATGAAATAAAGGGTTCAGTTTGAAATTCCAATTACCTGAAGAAAGCCGGAGTGTACAACTTGCAAAAACGTTGTGAATATGGCAATAAAGATGAGGACAACAGTCCAAACAATGTAAATAATTACAATACCTCATCTCAAAAATATAGACAGATATATTATTTTTGATAATATAGTTTATTTAAGAACACTCCAATTAACCACTCTTACTCTCTTTTTGTTACTTAAGTCCACATAATTAAAAGGTTAAAATGAAAGCATAATCACTAAGACTCCAGAACATAGATATATTTTTTTTAAATACACCACCTCTGTTGCATATTGATGTATATACAGCTTCCAATCAGATGTTTCTCAACATTTACTGCATTATGGCAGAGATCACATACATTTGTAGGTTTACAGCCACATCATGTTGAAATAAAAGTTCTCATACAACCACAGAAGTCAAGCCTGGTCAGTACCTCGACGGCTGACCGCTTGGGAATACCAGATGCTGTAAGCTTGGACTTGTCTCCCTAAACCATTATTATCTCCAATAAAATTCTTAGAATCTAAAAATATTTTCTGGCTTTAAGTAACCTTAAAAAGGGTTGATAAGACATACAAAACAATCACTGAACAATAAGTTTCTCATTAAAACAACTGCCATGAAAATATTTATAGAAATGACAAAGTGTTATATAGTAATAAAGTGTTGCTGCTGACACTGGAGTTTGAACACAGATCACCAGAGAGCAAACACAGGCGATCTCATTTTGTAGATCATGTAATGGTAAAGGAAAAGTATATATAGAAATTAGCATGGCGTCTAAGTGATCGCTATATGGATTACTATTTGGATGACTATACAGATTACTATTCAGATCACTATTCAGTGGTTACTATTTGAGTGAGTATTATTGAGCAAGTACTATTAGTGCAAGTGTTATTTGAATGTGTCAGAAACCAGTATTGTTCAGTGGCATTACTATAGTTGTATCTGAGATTACAAAGTCTCTACTACTATGAGCATTACAGACATGACTACAAGTATTCATTGACATTACAAAAGTGGCAAAGAGTATTTGTTGACATCACAAAACAAAGGGAAGCTATGTCACAGAAGTGGGAAATTGAAATTACAGAGCTTATTTTAGATTTTGTTGAGAATATCAAGATATAAATCCAGAGCACTAGTTTAGATATAGCAAAAATATTCAATGCACAGATGAATGGTTGATTTATAAATATACAAGATGGAATCTGATGAGAGAATTGTCTGGCATGACACTGAACCAACAGCAGACTTAGCAACTGATTCAATATAATCACTCAACATCAGTAGAAAATGTGTGACCAAGAAAGTGCAATGAGTTGCTCTCCTGGAGGTTAGCATCAGCTATGCTGATGGAGGGCAAAAATGGTTCTCTACGTTGATTAAAGGTTAGCAGTTTGTTATATAGGAATAAAGTGTTGCTGCCAATACTGGATTTTGAACATGGATCACCAGAGAGCAAACACAGGTGATCCCATTTTGAATAAGTAGATCATATGATGGTAAAGGAAATGGGAATTAGCATGGTATCTAAGTGATCACTATATGGATTCCTATTCAGATCAGTATTCAGTGGTTATTATTCAAGTGAGTATAATCAAACAAGTGCCATTAGTGTGAGTGTTATTCGAAGGCGTCTGACAGCAGTATTGTTCAACAATGTTACCATAGTTGTATCTATGATTGCAAAGTCTCTAGTACAATGTGCATTACGAAAGTAACAATGACTATTCATTGAAATTACAAAAGTGGCAATGAGTATTCATTGATATCACAAAACAGTTTCATTTTGGAGGCTTTAAAATTAGCAAGCCAGTTCCTGCCCCAACAGCAATTTTCCTCTTATTGGTCAAAAGTTGGTGAATGTACTTTCATTCATATGAGGGCTTACAGCCACATCACATGAAAACACTGATACCCTTATGATCACTGAAGTTAGGCAACACTGAACCTGGTCAGTACCTAGATGGGTGACCACTTGGGAATACCAGTTGCTGTAAGCTTGGATGTGCAGGTAGTGAAATGGATAATGGCTTGGAATTGTTAATTGTAGAGGCTGTTGGATTACGGCCCTCTGGTGAGAATCACAGGTAGAAAGACTTTGAATTAGCGACCCCTGATGATAATTACAGGCAGCGCAAGATTTGAAAGAATACATCTCTTAGTGACTTCTCATAGCAAAAAGCTGTATTCTTTTCACTCCCACAAAAATATAAATACCTCAGCTACAGACACAATGTTGCTTTGAACTCTTCTTATTTAATTTAATTTCTAATTTTTCCTTTTGCGAAATGTCCTATCAATATATTTGTTAATATTCTTTGGTTTAAATTCTGTTTACATATTTTTCTTTGGACTCACATGAATCCACCAAAAATTGTTTGCAGGTTAAATGTACCAAGAGCATAAAAATCTCATCAAAAATGTTGAAGCCAACAATATGCTGAGTTCCAATTCCCATTGGGTTCATTATATTCACTTAAGTGCAAATACCTTTGGAAAAGGTATAAATCCAACTCTTTTTCCCTCCAGCTATGGGTTAATTAATAAGACTTGTATCACTAAACCATTATTATCTACCCCCCGCCTTACAATCTAAAAATATTGTTCAGCTTTAAATAACCTGCAAAGAATGAATCAACCAAATTTTGTTCATATGGTGGTTCTTCTAAATAACCACAAATTTTGTTCTATTTTTATGGAAAATTATTGTAAGCAAGACTTCTTGAACATCTAACTTCAAAAGCTACTGCTTTATTTGACTTAGGTTTACATAATCACACAGTTTTTACCCTGGTCTCTGGAGTTAAACTGTATAACTTTAGACCATGCTTCCAAATTCAAAACTTTTTCTATGGCCATTTGAACACATATAATAAACAAAATTTATAGGAAGTTATGTTTTTGCACATCTTGAAGGGACATAGAATTTAAAAAAGAAAGTGCTAAATTCATTGATTTTTTTTAATCATCTCACACTAAAGAAAGCAATAAACCTACCAAGACACAAGATTGTAAAAGAATAAGAAAAAATAAAATATTATTAATGAGCAATAAAATAGGAGGAATCAAGACACTGCATTAAAACTTTTGAAGATCAAAGTTAGTTGGAAAGCAAGAAGCTGGAAGAGAATTCCACAGGTAAGAAGTGTGAGAAAAGAAACTGTTAGCAGAGTTTACAGTTATATCTGACAAATTCAACTTATGCGATCATGTATCTTTTGATATATCACAAATGAGGCAGATTTTTTCCCGCAGTAGGTTGCCATTTCTTTCTGCAGTAGACCAATTGCCATCCAAGGCTATAGAACTTGGTCTGTCCTGCTATTTACCCATAGCTGGGGGGAAAAGAAGAGGATTCATACCTCCTCCAAGGGTATTAGCACATAAGTGAATGTAATGGATTCAACTGGAATTCGAACTCAGCTCTTAGATTCCTCAGTCTGAGCCACTGTCCATTACTCCATTATGCCTCTTCCAATCTAGTACTGTGCTTAAATTCATAAAGGCTAGATACCATAAAGTTCACCAGAACAATTACCATGAAAGTATTTATAGAAAAAAACACAGGGAAGCTCTATTATAGTAATCGGAAACTGACTGATGCCAGGTCAGGACCAGTAACATGGCAGATTATTTGGATTTTATCAAGAATCACTAAATATATAGCAGGAACACCGGACTATGTGTGGCAGCAATATTTAAAACATGGATGAATAGTAGACTTATAAATATGTAATATGGATTCTGATGAGATAAATTGTCTGACACAACACAGTGAACCAACTTTCCTAGCAGTAGACCTAGCAATTGATTCAATCTAATCTTTCCACTTCACATTAGCACAGAATGTTAACCTGAAAAATTATTATATTTTTAGGAATAGATAGGTTTGATGATTTCCCAGTTCACACTCCTCACCAGTTGTTTGAACAGGAGTAGAGGTTTATCCCTTATTTCTTGCTTAGGATTGATTTTCCGGTTCCTTCTAAAGTCTTCTCATTCTCTTTCACACCCAGTAGCTTCTTGCTTGGGGTGAATTGATTTAAAAAAATAATTTTAAATAAAGTATTTTAGACTGACTGAATTTTATAACAGTTTGATAAAATTATGTGTAATTATAATAAAATGTTTTTACACTTCATAGATTTCCCTAACATTGTATAAAATATGAGATTGAGAGCTTCTGTATCAGTCTTATAAATACAAACAGAATTCAAAGGATACTTCTTTAGCTGAGTTGGTTTTGTTCAACAAAAATTTATAAAAGAAAACAAATTTGGCATTTAATGCGATAATAAAAAAGAAATTACTACAATTACCAACAAACTTTTAGCAATTATTCAACAAACTAAGACTGTCCTGAAGACATTTTTATTGTAAATTTTATGGAAATTAACACTGAATTCTACAGCCTGTAAACATGGGGACAGAACTAAATATGCGGTTGACTCTGTTTTCAAACAATTCTCTTTGTTTTATGAAAGAAAAACCAAAATGTCTGCAAAGGCTATCCTCTATCTATTTGTATCTCTCACACACATATGCACAGGTTGAACTAGAGGAGAAAAAAAAAGCATTTAGAATGGAACAATGTCTGTTACATTAAGTTTCTGTAAAGCTCATTTGCCAAGCTTTGTTAACAATGTTGAATGATTATATAAAGAACTAGTCAAATTACCTGTGCCTTGCTGCGTGTCACACATTTTTTTGGTAAGAAAATGATGATTGATTTTAAATCATTGTTATAATTTATTGAGAAAAATAATGCATTTCAATATTATTCAATAATCTTGCTGATGTGACCTCCATTTTCTGGTTTTCTCCTTCTATATTTTGGATAGAAGTCATTCCCTTGTTCAAATTTAAATTTAATTTAAATCAAAGGGGGAAAAATTTTCACTGGGGGTTTTGTGCCTCCTGGGGATTCTCTTTGATTGAAATATACTTATCCAAGTACCCTGGGTAATGTACTTTCAGAATAAATATGGTTCAGGAGGTTTATCTCTAAAACCCTAGGAGGAGTTTGATAACAGACCGACAGAGGCTACCACTTTATATGTATTTTTTTATGAATATATTATAATAAAAAGAAAGAACAGTAAGATATATAATCTGGTGTTCTTATTGATATTTTTATTTTTACAAAACAGTGTTCAATGTAAATTTACAGAGTATAATTATTATAAATTAACTGATTTAAAATATGGTTTCTTCACTACACAGGGATTACCATGTTTCAAAAACCAAAGCTAAAATCTTCAAATTTAATTATATAATTAAATTAATAGCATTAGTTTGATAACAGACAGACAGAGGCTACCACTTTATATGTATTTTTTTATATATATATTATAATAAAAAGAAAGAACAGTAAGATATATAAGCCGGTGTTCTTATTGATATTTTTATTTTTACAAAACAGTGCTCAATGTAAATTTGCAGAGCATAATTATTATAAATTAACTGAAAAACTAAAAACTTCAAATTTAATTATATAATTGAATTATTAGCATTAGTTCTGTTTCATCATCAAGCGAATTTTGGAATAACTTATTTTTAAATGGGTTTATTGTGCACCAAAGTGCTACATTTGACAGGATTTCTTTAAATTCTGACATTTTGAGACAAAGCATCTTTTCATAGAGTTTTTGTAGTCGTACATTCATCTTTTTTTTGGCTATCTCTACTATATTTTATTAATGAAATTGTTTACACTTGCATTTATTGTACATGGTATAAAACTGCAGTGAATAAAAATATGATGAATAATAGAGAAAGGAAAAGGTCACTGAAAAAAACTTTATGTAACATCTGATAAGATTTTAGTGGGGAAGGTCTTGTTGCTGAAAATTCTTTTATTCCCAGCAAAATTATGAAATAACACTTGAAATTCTTACCAAATTCCAAACAGGCTGAAGCCAGAGATCCTGCACTCAATTTTGGAAGCTGTTTTAGTTGAAAGCAGACAAAGAATTTCAGCATTGATATATTTTTTTTTTGTATTCCTTGCTTTTCTATTTGTTGTGCATCACAGTTGTTTACTTATGCTTGAATGTTTTCCCTTTTCATTCCTTTTTTTGTTGTTGTTGTTGTTTCTCTATGAATCTTGAAGCTATGACAATAAGAATATACCAAAACTCAAAGTTAAGTGACACATATACTTCAGAGGAAAGAATACAAAATTTTGATGTATACAGTACTTAAATTGATTGTATAATATGCATCAATAAAATTGGAGGAAGTCCGACCGAATGGAAAACATATAAGACAATTTTGTAAAGATTTTTTTAAATAACATATTTTGCCAGTAATCTAGCATTGTCACAGAAACAATGTTATTTAAAGAAAAATCTTAAATTCTTCTCTATGTGCCATATCTCTTAAAGACATGTGTGATCATGGCTCTCCACAACTTCATATATTTTGTGGCTCTTTGTAATGTGTCTTTTTATTGTATAGGAATAAAGTGTTGTTGCCAACACTGTAGTTTGAACACAGATCATTGGTGAACAAGCACAAACAATTCCATTATTTATCACTTAAGGAGGAATTACACATTGTTGCTTCTCTAGTCATTCCAATGGCCATTTGAGAGTGTTTGGGTACTAAGCATGTGATTCTAACAAGAATAACTGAGAAATTGCAATTAATTGATGCATACCCATCTCTCTTCCTCTTGAAGAACAGTTTTTTGCTACCAAGATTCCTCTACACTCTCCGAAGAGCTCCTTGCTACCTCAAACAGGATTTCTTAAATGAGATAGATATCACAATTAAGAGATGCATGTAGCTAATTTTCAACGTTGATTTTGACGGCACAACTGGAGGCAGGCAAAGCTACCTTTGAGTTTCGGAGGCCTGGCACTTCGATCAGCGGTAGATTTGGCCCTTCCAGCATATCTTTCTTCACTTTTGTCCAGTTGCGAATTAATTGATGAGATACTTGATGGATCATCTCAGTGTTTCTTGGGTAGTTCTTTCGAACAAGCTTGTAGTGTCTGGGCCCAAGAATTACTTTCTATCCCACTGGACACATCAAAACAAAAAAGCTGGGATAAAATAAAATGCAAGGCCAATTTTACTAATTTGAGGCTCTCTCTGGATCAGCATCGGTGGCAGAGGATAGCAAAAAAAAACATTTTGTTTATAGTTACTTTGTTCAAATTTTTTCAATAAATAATTCTCTTATTTCGAAACGCTATATGTATTTTTAAATTTTCTATTCTCTTGAATTTATTTCTGCATTTTTTTTGTGTAATTATTTTAACTCTTTATTATTCATTCATTATTGGAAACTTGAAAAATGAAACTGAATATCTATTCTTCGTTTTTTACTTTACTTTACATTCCATTATTAAATAAGTAGATCACATGATTGTAAAGGAAACATATAAATGGGAATTAGCGTGATGTCTAAGTGATTGTGATTCTCTATACTATCTTCTATACTGATCACTCTATGGATTACTATTTGGTGGTTACTGTTTGAACAAGTGTTACTAGTGCGAATATTATTCAAAGGAGTTACTCCTAATATCTGCAATTCCAAAGTCTTGACTACAAAGAACATTCATTGATATAACGAAAGTTATATCAAGTGAGTGTTCTATCATCACAAAAATTTTTATTATTGATTTATGGCTATATCATGTTGAAACACCTGTTCCCATATGATCACTGAAGTTAAGCAATATCATGCATGATCAGTACCTAGTTGGGTGACTGCTTAGGAATACCAAGTGCTGTAAGCTTGGATGTGTGGGTGGTGTAATGGATAATGTCTTTGGATTGTTAATTGGAGAGCCGAGTTCCAATTCCAGTTGGGTTCATTATATTCACTGACATGCAAATACCCTTGGGGAAGGTGTGAAGCCACCTGTTCTCCCCCAAACAGTCTATAGATTTCTTAGAAGATGCCATTATTAATAATTTGGGACTAGTTTTTCTTTCATAAATTCTTTTGCTTATTAATTTTCAATTTTCAGATTATTAAGTAAATACAAATGACTGTAGATATAAAATAAGACTCCACCAAGATTGGAACTCATGTTCCTTATTTATGGAGAGCCAGTCTTGGATGTCTTCTAACTCTTAGAAATGTTTGTCTTTTTCTCATCCCTTCCAATCCCTATTTTGCTATCTATTTACACACACTTGTTAGTTAAGTTACTTGCTACTTCCTCTTTTCCTTCTTGTCTGTGAGTGTTAAATTCTCCAAACCATCTTTCCTTGTTATGCATCCTAAAAATTTCAACTGTTTTAAGTATATAAGTATCCTTTTAGTTTCCATTTTTCTTAAAACTTCCTTGTTATCCACATGTTCAGTTCATGATATTCTTACTATCTTCTTGTAGAATGTAATTTCTGTTATTTCAAGTATCCTTTTCATCTGTGAGGGGAATGTTCAGCATTTACTGATATTACCAATCATTACCAATATGATTTTTATGTAAAGCATCTAAATACTCCCTTCTGTGATTAAGATATAACTGGACTATTTCATTATATACTTAACAATTTCATTATATGCTTTTGTCTCACTAAATTAATACTGAAGCAGTATGGAATACTTAAACAATAAAAAAAACTTTGTGATATTAATTAAAATCTAATTTCTATAACAGTACATTCAAATTTGAAAATTAAGTATTTAGATGATTTTTGCAATTTTTGATAATGTACATTTCGTTTTTCATTGTTCCCATGATGACACCTGATTATTGATAAAGCTTTTAAGTAAAAAATTTTTTAGAATTGTCTGATGTCTTCCATATATATATATATATATATACATAGTATGTGATGCATTGTCATCTAAATTATGCAGAAATGAAAATAACTCTGACATCTTACTTTAACAGATATATTCGCCAAAATTACACAAAAATATCTTGAAATACTAAAGAGTAAATTTATTCAATAAAATTGCCATTGGCTTCAACTGTGGCCTCTGATGACTTCAGAATCTCTTGCATCTCTTCTAGACAATTTCCTTTTTTAAGTTGGTGAACGCTGCCATAAGATTTGCTTTCAGTTCATCTTTGGTATTACAAGGAGTTTTGTTAGTCTCTTGCTCAATTGCGCCCCACACATAATAATGAATGGGATTGCAGTCTATGGATTTAGGTGACTCAATGTAGGGCGTGATGTGGTTGCAGAAATTGTCTGACAGCCATGATTGGGTTCTCCTACTTTAGTAGAGTCCTGTTGCCAGACATAGGGGTTTCTAGCAATCATCCTCTTCACCCATGGCAGGCATGGTAGTCCTCCATGTTGAAGTTGAGGCCCTCACCAACAAATTCAGGATATCTTACCTGAGTTTTCTAAGCTACCGTACAGTCATAATCACCATTAGACTCATCCAACACTTTCTGAATGCTCTGTACTCTCCTCAGATTGACACCCAAACACTCTGAAATGTTTGTATGGAAGCTTCTGGAACAAAGGCCAAACAGTACAGTATACCGTTTCCAAATTTCTGGTGGAGTGAATTGCATCATGGTGCTCTTTTTCTCGCAGATGATACCCAGTTGACTTTACCATACTGTGCAGTCCAAAAAATCAAGAACAAACATTGTGCATGCATGAAATTAAAAATATAAAATGGCGACAATTTACAAATCGCACCTTTGAGATATATATATATATATATATATATATATATATATATATATATATAAATAAATATAAGTAACTATCTAGCTTTTTTTAATCTTTTAGACTTTTTCCTTTATCTTTTCATGTTTTTTTTCTTTTGCTGGCTTATTATTATTATAGTTTTTCTTTGACACTTTACCAATAGCTTAATTTATTTTGGTTAATATATATATTTAAATTAAAAAAAATAAAATTTCAGCAATGGGGTTGGGAGGAGGAGTGCTTTCTTTCATGTGTAATCCCTTTAGTCAGAAGTCCGAAAGGATAAAATGCATAACACAAATTTTTTCCACTTTGTCATTTCCGTTATATATATATACATATATATATATATGTGTGTGTGTGTGTATTTATATGTGTATTGTGTGTTTAAACTAAATCACATTTCATAATTTTTAGTAATTTACATTTTGTTTTATTTGAAAAGCAAGATGTTTATTACACAAAAATTACAAACTTTGATTTATTTTAAGCATAGATATATATATATATATATATATATATATATATATATATATATATATATATATACAAAACAAACCAAGCTGTTGGTACAGTGTCAAAAATACTGTACCAATACTGAGCTTGCCAAAGGAGAAAACATAAGACACCTACCTACAAAAAAAAGCTAAAAGTGCTCAGTGCCTCTAGAAAATAAACTAAGACAGAGCAGTAACATGAATAAACACCAAACGGCACTCAGACTCTGATCAAAATTGTAACTGAGTTTCACACTATAGTGCTTATCAGAAAAGATAGCTAAATTTGTAACAAAATGCAACAAAAATGGCAAACTTGTGGTTTTGAGTAAAAGTTATATGAATAAAAAAAATTGTACAGTGTAACCTGGATATAAGAGAGTTGTCGGGACCGGAGAAGAAGTCTCTTATATCCGGGTTTGGTCTATTTTATATACATTAACACAGGCTCTAATTTGGGACCAGAGAAAATCTCTCTTATATCCGGGTTTCTCTTATATCTGGGTCTCTTATATCCGGGTTACACTGTACCACCAAAATATAGCAATTTGAACTTTTTTCTAAAATATAGCTAATAAAAAAAATCCAAACTTTATTGCTACTGCAGTTTCACCTGTGGATGATCTTGCAGTAAGAATGTAGACTCACTTTTAATGCCTGACGATCCACAGGTGAAACTGCACTAGCATTACGGTTTGGATATTTTTATTAGCTATATTTTAGGAAGATGTTTATAATACATATATATTTGGGAAGGTTTTATTTATATTAAACACCAATGAAAATTGTTTTCTGGGTATTTTTATTAACTGTAATTAAATATTTGATATGAAGACTGTGGTTGCCCAAATATTGTCTAAATTCTTTTTGTTCTCATAAATCATTTTCAAAGATTTTATTTGTTACAGATAAAATTAGAGGCCTACATTTTATGCTTTATGTTGTGTATTCTTTTCAGTGTCATGTGGCAATTTGTATTACATTTTTTTCCTTTATTTAAATATCTTCTATATGTTTACTACTAAATTTAATAAGCATTTTATTAAATTCAGTGTTTTTTATTTGCTATGTTTAATGCTTCTAGTTATCTGTAGCCATTTGTAGATGTGTGAGTTGTGTAATGTGTAGCAGCTTCAAAAATGAGAAATCAGAGAGCTAAGTTCAAATTCCAGTCAGGTTTGTTGTATTCACCTACATGCAAATACCCTTGGGAAAGGCATGAATCCATCTCTTCTCCCCCAGCTATAGGTTAAATAGTGGGACATATCTACAAAAATCATTGTTATTTAAAAAAAATGTTAACACAGTATTCACATACAAAAAAAAAGTAAATTAATTGCAATCCCAAAATATCTCTCAGCCTTAAATAACATACAAATGGTTGATAATCCATAAAAATATAAGTCAATCAATCCTTGCTAGTAATATTCTACTGTTAATCTGTTTATTTTCAAATCACCATTAGACTTCAGAGTCAGACTTATGGTTCACAGGAAACAATTATAACTCTATACCCTCCCTGGTTGTCCATCACGTCTAGTACACACATACACACACACACACACACATATATATAGAGAGATAGGGAGAGAGAGAGTAAGGGGTTTGTGTAAAAGTTTCCAAAAGACTTACATCCATATAATATTCAAACACAAGTTCTTGCATGATCACTGAAGTTAAGCAATGTTGAGCCTCGTCTGTACCTATACGGGTAACTGTTTGGGAATACCAGATACTATAAGCTTGTATGTGCATTGGGTGTAATGGATTATGGCTCAGAATTGGAATTCAGAGAGCCAAGTTCCAATCTCAGTTGGGTTTTCACTTATGTGAAAATACTCTTGGGAAAGCTATGAATCCACCTCTTCTCCATCCAGCTGTTGGTTAATTAGTAGGATGTGTATTAGTAAATCATTATTATCCCTCCAAAGTTATTACAAGCTAAAAGAATATTTCTGGCTTTAAATAACCTACAAAAGGTTGATAAGCCAAGAAACAGAATCAATTTGTCATTAAAAGTTTCCAATATTAGTTTATTTTCATTAGAAAGATAATTCTTTTCTACTATGTATTTTATTTTAAGTTTTATAAGACAAAAAAATCCCAGAATATTTTGCCTATGATAAATATGTCTGTATTTTAGTGTCAAGATTTAACTGATATCAAAATGAAATGATGTCTTTTCAGTATCAATTTGGAAAAGAGAAAATAGTAAGTGTGAAGAACAGATAAATTTAAAAAAAATCTAATATCTGACATGTTTTCATGTAATGTCTTTGGGTGATTGTCTGAGAGTCTCATTTAATGTGCAACTTAAATGCTTATGAGAAGTTGAATAACTAATAACACCACATGGGGTGGCGATAACCAGTTCCAAGGGAGATTAAAAATAAGAGATAGCTGTTGGAACCAAGGAAGGCTAGTAGAAATTCCTAGATAATGGCAAGTCTTCCTGTATAAGTGTCAGTAGTTTTTCATTTATGTTCTCTGATTTACAGACAGTGTAACTAATTCCAATTTAACCCAGATTGTTTTATCTTGGTGTCCAGTCAGATCTGTGGATTGGATGCTGGCAAGTGTGAAATTCTATCACACATTTAGTAGGTTAGATTG